AAAATGGAGTTAAAAAGTAAGTTCAGTTTGATGCGAAAGACAGGAAGGAAGGAAGGAAGGAAGGAAGGAAGGAAGGAAGGAAGGAAGGAAGGAAGGGAGGGAAAGAAAGAAAGAAAGAAAGAAAGAAAGAAAGAAAGAAAGAAAGAAAGAAAGAAAGAAAGAAAGAAAGAAAGAAAGGAAGGAAGGAAGGAAGGAAGGAAGGAAAGAAAGAAAGAAAGAAAGAAAGAAAGAAAGAAAGGAAAGGAAAGGAAAGGAAAGGAAAGGAAAGGAAAGGAAAGGAAAGGAAAGGAAAGGAAAGGAAAGGAAAGGAAAGGAAAGGAAAGGAAAGGAAAGGAAAGGAAAGGAAAGGAAAGGAAAGGAAAGGAAAGGAAAGGAAAGGAAAGGAAAGGAAAGGAAAGGAAAGGAAAGGAAAGGAAAGGAAAGGAAAGGAAAAGAAAAGAAAAGAAAAGAAATCCGTGCATACTCTATCAGGTTCGGTAAGCAAAACACAAAGCCGCAATTGGTTACTGGATTTCTACTGTGCTTTCCACATTGTCCCCTGAGCCTTGGCCTTGCCTTTGAATTTTACAACTGGTCCTTAGCCCACACCAGGCTTCAGCCGGAGCCACTGGGAAAGACAATCTGCAGGAAGCATTTTTCTCCCTGGGAACGATAAGGTGCTTGGCTCCTACTGTTTGGCCAGGTTGGAAAGGCTGACTCTACCATTTAGGAGCTGTGCGACTTCAGCCAACTGCTCAACACCCCTGAGCCTCAGTTAACTTGTCTGAAAAATGGGTTTATCAGAAACCTTCCTCTTAGGGTTGCTGCGGAGTCCATGATAGATTTGGGAAGTGCTGAGAGGAGGCAGAGACGCGCGTTATACATTTAATGAACAATATTTTCTCTTCCTTCCTTTCTCTGTCCCTCCCTCTTTCTTTCCTGCCCCTTTCCCACCTCTCTCTCCTTGCTCCTGGAGCCCACCTGATGGAGAAATAAATTTAATGCAGCGCACTGAGGATCAGAACAACAAGGGACCATCAGACGACAGAGACGTCAGAGTGGCCTCAGAGATCTTGCTGCTACCAGGAGCCCAGAAGCCCCCCAGCCCCGACATTGGCTTTATTTACTTTCCCCGCTCAGTTCACCTAGAATACAACAGATCCCTGAAGACTACTAGTCCTCAGAGAGCCTTGGGCACCTGGATCAGCGGCACCCTGTGCAAACCGCCTAGGCTCAGCACTTCCAAATTCCCGGTCAGCCCTGGCCGGTGCGCCCCTGCCCTTCGACGGTAATCACAGAGCAAGTGCAAATGCTAAAGAAAGAGCAGGCAGGGCAGGGCTGAGCCACACGAGCAATGCTAGGAAGATTTCGGGGAACCTACGAGAGGACCAGGAGGCGGGCGAGGCAAAAGGACAAGCTGTCTCGCCCGCGCTGGCATTTAGGGGCAATTACGCCCTATTAATGGCTGCCGGCGTAGCTCTGCCCCGTGCATCTGAACTGAGCCTGGGCGGCCCACAGATACGCAGTTGGCAACTCCTGAACTTTCTGTGACTTGACGCCAGCTGACGTGATGGGCAATTACGTTTTATTTTGGGGCCAGGGAGACAGCATAACATCAGGAAAATTATAAGACATCAGAGTGCAGTTTTTCTAAGAATATCAACCACACACATTTTTTTTTCTTTTTTTGAAGCCAATTGTTGTTTTAATGGTAAAGGGTTTGCAGGGCACTAAAATAAGGAAACTCGGACACTAAAATCGCATTGTAGCCAGTTTTCCCCAGAGAGCCTTAAGCTTTTGTCCAGTGAAAATCTGGGTTTTATTATTGTTTTTGGAGCAGGAATGGGGTTATTCTTGCCAAGTGAACTTTGCCGGTAACACAGAGTACAGCACGGAGGTAAAGAAACTTGGATTTGAACTTTGTCCCGGAGCCGAATCTTGACTGTTTCTTTTAGGTATGTGCACTTGGATAAGTTGTAGAGTGACTGGCCTCAGTTCTCCCATCTGTGAAGTGGGGATGTAATACCTAGCTCGGGGCTTACTACAAGGATTCCATGAGATGCTTGTGAACATCTGGACAGTATCTGGCCCACAGGACAACACACAGGAACGAGAATGGTGCTTTCTTGCCATAATGTGGGTTTGGCATCATCTGAAACAAACAGTTCCTGTTCTCCCAACCATGTATCACACTCAGATAGCCAGTCAGTGTAGAAAACAGAAAACGGCACCTCCAGGGGCCGTTGGGTTTCTAGAGATTAGGGTTTGCGCCACCTGCCTCGGTGACAACATCGCTCCGGTCTCAGCGACACAGCCGGATGGACATACGAGACGCCGCAATGGACCCCAAGCAGGAGCCAACCCATGTCAACAGCAGCACCCACTCCCTGTGCCCCAGCCCAGCGCGGCCCAGCTCCCCAGGACGCCTTCTCGGAAAAGTGCCACTTACCGCACTCGCGTGGGAACGGAACATAATTGCAGCGTGTAAAGGAAACCAGCCTAAGAAAAGACATCCCGAGACAGCACCCCGGGAAGCGGGCTGATCTGCCTGTGGGGACGCTGCCCTGGTTGCTGGCTAGCAGGCCAGACAACGTGTCGGAGGCGTCCTTGGAGGACGGTGGTGACTCACCCCCCACACACATGTCCTCCGGGACGACTTCCAGAGCGGCCTCTCCAGCCCTGCTTCCTCCCCTTTCTCCAAGTCCAAGGCTATTGCTAAATGAGCCTCTCACTAAGACAATATCCACACCACCAGAGGGAGAGGTGATCTCCACCCAGCAGGGAGTTACAAATGGACCCTGCCCTGTGGAACCGTGAGCTGACAGGCCTGCCTCCCCAGGAAGGCTAAACCCATCCCTCATCCCCTTCTGGGACCCAGGGGCAGCACTGGGCTGCATGCAGTAGGCACTCAGCCCAGCACACGAACTGAAGGAAGGAACGAGTGAACGAAGGAACGAACAGAACGGGGCACATTAGCTCGTGCAGCAGGGAGGTACTGCTCACAGGGCGGTGTCACGAGCGATGCCAGTCTCAGAGGGGTTAAGTGACATGCCTGGGGCCACACAGCTGGAAACAATGACACCAGGCTCTGAACCGAGGCCTCGGAGGTCAAGGCACCCGAAGCTGAACCATACATATGACAACTCCTACTTATCTACCCGACACATCAGCTCCCAGCACACCCAGGGGACTTCTAGTTGGTCAGACTAAGGCCAACAGAGGACTGATCAGCATAGCCCAGGCTGCACACAGGTCAAGGCAACACAGAAACTTGAACCTGGGCTCTCCTTTCACTCAATGGGCCAGCTCCTGCACTGGGTGCTGGGGACGCAACGGTGAAGAGAGCGACGTAGTCCACGGACTTTCTCTCTGGAGGGGTGGGTACATCAGAACTCGCTCTCCCACGATGCCCTGGGTTGCTCACAGAATGGCATCGGGGGAGAGCAGCAGCCCCCCAGTAGCTTCGTGTTGAAGGAGAAAGTAAGCCAGGAACAGGGGACGCCAACAAGCAGATGGGAAGGGCTGGCAACTGAGGAGCCTGCGTGGTTTTCAACATGGTTTCCCAGCCATCCCAGCCACGGCCACAGCCTGGTTCTGCTTCGTGCCGGGGCAGTACACGGGCTGGGAGACTTCACCCACCACGGTCAGACTGTTTGGGCTGCACAGGAAACCCAGATGCCACATGCCACAGAACCCAGGAAAGGCAGCCTTGGGCGACACTGAGTTTGCAATCAGCGGGCTCTGGCCTCGCCACACCGCCAGTTCCAGAGTCGGGTGGGTTCATCTGATCAGGCCACTGGGATGCTCAAACGCTGGAGACCCTGTGACAACTGCCCCTTCAGAAGCGCAGGTTGCAGCAAGCTCAGGCTTTGAGGTCAAAGCATTACCCTGCTCCACCAAGTGCCTTGGTCTTCAGAAAAGCGACATTAAGAATCTGATGCAAAATAAAGCCCAGAGACCACAGCCAGAGCAGGCCAGTACCCTCCCCAACCCCACTTTTCTTAGCAGCACCTGCAGGTCACTCGATGCTGTCGCCGTTGGTTGGTCACTCACCAGCACTCAGCTGCAAGTGCTAATCAACGCTGCTACAGAAGGATCAGCCCTGGGGTCTCCACATCAAGACCCACACACACTGAGGCCGTTGCCATGGCAACCAGGCCTCCTACCTTGGTTCCATGGAGGGTGCTTCTCCTTAGTGGGAGCTTTTTTTTTTTTTTTTTTTTGCTTAAAGAGGAGCTCTTTTCATAACCAAGAGCACAGAGGTCACGCTTGCTGCCTTGTTAAACTAATGAGTCAGACTGACAGTGACAGTCACTTAGCCAAAAGTCCCCGCACACAGGGAGTTTTACCAAACTACTGCAGTGACGTGGCATGTCGCTGGGCTCTCATAACTGGATGGGGGTGCTGGGTGGTGACTTCACCCAGACAAGAGCCTTCGGTGCGGGTGGGGGTAGGTAGGTGGCACAGCCCAGCTGGCCCTGCAAGGTCAGAGTCCCATGGCTGGGACATGGGACTGCACACATAGGACTTGGGTCTGAACACTCGGTCCAACATGAAACCCAGGCATTTCTCTGATTCTAAACATCTCTTGCTAGAATTTCAGAGATGTTATACAGGTTGCATCCCCCTTATCCAAAGGGCTTGGGACCAGAAGTGCTTTGGATTTGTTTACTTGTTTAAGATTCTGGAACATTTGCAGACCCATGAAGAGATGCCTCGGGGATGGGACCCAACTCCAATCACCAAATTCATTCACATTTCTCAAAGCCATCAATGGAAACCTGAAGGGTAACTCTGGCCAGTAGCTTCAGCACGTCTATGTTTTGACCGCAGCCTGTCACACGGGAGCAGCCATGGAATGTTCCAGTTGTGGGGTCATGTCAGCGCTCAAACAGTCACGGATTCTGGGAGCATGTTGGAGTTGAGATTTATATTAGGGATGCTCCACCCACACAGAAGAAGGGAGGCAAAGAAAGCCAACACCGTAGTTTCCAAGCGCAAAGAACCGGACGGGGGCTTACCTGGCTCGGGTTGTAGAGTTCCTGCAGGGGACTGCGGGAGCCCTTCCGGCAGCAAATGTCCATGCCGAAGGCGTTCCGCCGCATGACTGAGGAAAGAAAGCGGAGGCTCATCAGACAGGGGCAACGGGCTCGTGGGTGCGACAAAGAAAGGGCACTGAGCAGGCACGAGGAAGCAGGCAAGGACAGAAGACAGGAACCGCCAGGCCCACCGCTGCCCCTCGGTCAGGAGCGTGGCCGCTGGGGACGGGCCTGGGGCGCCTAGCACATCCCTGGTCTCTGCTCTCCATCCCAGTTTCCTGCGAATGCACCCTGGGAGGCAGCAAGTACCAGGGTCCCTGCCACCCACATGGGAGACCTGGATGGCGTTCTCAGCTCCCCCCAGCTCGGGCCATTTCGGGCACTTGGGGGAGTGAACCAGTAGATAAAAGATCTCTCTCTGTCTCTCTGTTTCTTGGCCTTGAGAGGCCATATAGCAGACTGTGGCATTTAGGCATCATCTAACCCAGGATAGAAACCATATTAAAACAGCTTCCCAGTAAGTCTTCAGAAAACAAGGCAGGCAGCTACAGCTCATCCAAACGAAAGCACTGACCCAAGACCCTGTGAACGCGGCTCCAGAAGCGCCGGTTGCAGCAAGCTCAGGCTCATGAGCTATTTTTCAGAGTCTGCAGGCTTCAGCTGCAACAGCCGGTGGCCTCTGACCCCCGGTCCCCATGTCCCCCATCTCCCGGGAGGAGTGCCTCCTCCAGCCTCTGGTAAGCTAGGCTACTTCAAACCGTCAGCTTGAGACGGCCAGAGTGGCCGTGGTGGGGGACAGAGATGGTGCAGGCACTGAAAGGGGGGTAACCAAGGGAACTCCTTGGGACCCTCTGGCTCCGAGCCGCCAAGAACTGGTTTTAATGCACACGGGCTCTTTTCCCCTTCCTCTGGTCCACAGAACACCCTCCGGGCATGCGCCCTGGCCCAGCGCCCCCGTACACGGTCACAGGCTGCCTACTCACTGGTTAAAGTTGGGGAGGGGCAGCGCGGAGGGGAGGTTGGGGAAACCGGGACTTTCTTCTCCAACAGGAGGCAGCTTTCTCGTAGAGGGACACGAGAGAGGCAAGAGGGGGATGGGGGACGGAGCCTTTCCCAAGCACAAGGGTGGTCTCGCTCCCTGTCTCCCTCCCTCCTTCTCTCTCCACCCTATCAGAACGATTGAGTGACAGAGGGAGAGAAACAGAGAGGGGAAGACAGAGAAGGGAGGAGAAAGAAAGTTCTCCCATCCACGAGTTTGTTCCCTAAATGGCTGTGACAGCCAGGTCTGCGCCAGGCTGAAACCAGAAGCTCCACCCTGGTCTCCCCGCTGGGTGCAAGTTGGCAGGAGGCTGGATAGGAAGTGGAGCAGCGGGGGTGCCGGCGCCAGGAGCCGCAGCAGGCACAGCAGGCAGGTCCCGGGGTGGGGGGCAGTTCCTCCCGGGGGAAGCTTGGCCGTGCCACAGTCTGTGTGACCTTGGGTACATGACCTAACCCCTGTGGGCCTCTGTGTCTCCACCTGTGAGCTGGGAATGGGAAGGGTGTCTAACTCTGCCGGGGTGGCCAAGAGGATCCGATGAGTTGCCCCTGTGTGCAGACTGCTGAAAACACGCCAAGCAAACAGCCAGGGTCTAAAAGCGCAGTTAGGAACTCATGCAGCAAACCGGATTTCCACACAGCCTGAGGACGAGAGCGGCTTGCCCTCCTCGCGGGAAGCTAAGAGCTTCTGTATCTAGGAGCTATCACAGGAGCGGAGAAGGAGTCTGCAGACGGCCCAAGGCCAGGCCCGCAGAGTGGCAAAGTCCAGGCGCTCCAGCAAAGGTCAGTTCAAGGTCAACAAAGTGAGGAGAGGCCCCTGGGTGAGCATCGATGATCCCTGGAAGGTCTCGGGTGCATCAGCTCCTGCCCAGGCACCTGCCACTCTGGGCCACCCCGAAACCCCATAAATCATCAGCCCTCGGGGAAACTCAAGGTCATGGCTTCTCTCTCCTTTTCCTTGACCTCCCAGGCAAAACTTTCCGTAACAGGCTCGGTGTTGCCGTGGTGGGAAGGTGGCCACAGGCAGCACAGCCATGGCTGACTGCCAAGAAAACTTCATTTAAGGCCGGGGAAGTTGGAACGTCATAAAATTTTCACGTGTCGGGAAACAGTCTTCTGATTTTTTTCCCCCAACTGCTTAACAAAAATAGGCCATGGGCTGGATCCAGCCCCTAGGCTGGTGTTTGCCAACCCCCTGGCCTAGAGAAATGCCCCAAGCCTTCTGGGGTCAGCGACACACAAGCTCCTTGCATGCCGCCCGTGGCCGGCAGCCTGCCCTTGGCGGAGGCACCTGTGGGGGACGCCAGCACTCAGGAGCCATGAGCCCCAATGAGGCTGCACACAGCAACAGTGGCTCTTTGTTCCTCCTCCCTCTGCCCTGAGAAGAGGGGGAAAAACAAAATCATGTTGTGTTTTTCTTTAATTTATTACTTCATTTTTCATTTCCACCAAGGAGAAGGTAGACCATCCAAACGCACGCGGGTTGCCCTTGGTGCACAGCGACATAGCAGTGCTCCGGAGGAGAAAAGACAGCCAGAAAACCTGTGAAATTATGTGCACACCGTGCAAAATTGAATTCGCCCCGGCGGCAGCCAGGCTCACCAGGGCCTCCGGCTGCGGCACCGCCCTGGCCAAAACCGACCGAGGAATCCACTATAAGTCTGCTTTTATGGGGAGGGGGCAGTATTATTTAATTGGTTTATTTTTCTAATACAGGCCTTGAAATGACTCTGACCATGTGGGGTCTGCAACGTGGGTCCTCCGTCGGCAGCCGCCAGCCCCCAGCGCTTCGTCCAGCCCTGCCCGTGACTTCACAGGGCACTGCTGTGTGAACCAGCGTTGTCCCCAACCCCCAACCGGGCCACACAAAAGCCAAAGGGACTTTGTGTGCTCCTTATGGCAATGACTACAACCCCTCCCCCACCCCTGGTTGTATGTGGGCTGCTCGCTGGGTGTGTGGTGGGGGCAGGCGGGGGGGGGGGGTGGTAATCGTTCCCAGTGGGAAGCAATGACCTGCATTGGGCGGACAACCTTGCCGAGCCTCCCTTAGCTTGAGTCCCTCAATTAAGGTCAAGGCCAAGGCTCAAACCTGGCAGGCACTGCCCAATCCGTGGGCTGAGGGCCCCACCTCCCCTCTCAGAGGCAGACAGGGAACCCCGAGCCACAGCAGAGCTGGGCACCTCGCTCAGGTCTCAGGACCGGTAGGAGGTGGCGGCAGGATGCTGACCTGGCAGCCCATGGTGTGGGGCAGCATGCTGGACCCACGATCTGAGCATCATGGACACCTGACCCAGACCTGCTGCTGGCCCACTTCTAGGACAGGTGGTCCCAGACATAGTCCTGTGTTACAAGTTTCATCAAAGTGATGTCATGGTCAAATTTTTATCACCCACCAACGAAGGCCAGTGCATTGCCAGACACTGGAAGTAGGGGAGCCAAGACCCTCTCCATCTTTCTTTCATTCATTCATTCATTTATTTTTGACAGGCAGAGTTAGACAGTGAGAGAGAGAGACAGAGAGAAAGGTCTTCCTTCTGTTGGTTTACCCCCACAAATGGCCGCTACAGCGGCGCTGCGCCGATCCGAAGCCAGGAGCCAGATACTTCCTCCTGGTCTCTCATGAGGGTGCAGGGCCCAAGTACTTGGGCCATCCTCCACTGCCTTCCTGGGCCACAGCCACTGGAAGAGGAGCAACCGGGACAGAACTGGTGCCCCAACGGGGACTAGAACCTGGGGTACCGGCGCTGCAGGCGGAGGATTAGCCTAGTGAGCTGTGGCGCCGGCAGAGACCCTCCCCAGCATATCCAGGTCACTGTGGTGCTTGTCACACAGGAGGTGCTCTCCAAGGCCGATGAGTGACCTAGGATCTAACACTTGGCTCCAAGGGCAGGAGACAAGTGGTTTCTTGCTGTGAGTGTGTGCAGGAAACGGCTGGTAGCACCAGGCAGGGTTTACTTTTTCGCTTTGAAAATGAAAGGGCTGATGATCAAAGGCACTCAGAACGGAACCCCTGAGGGCACTCACCACGGAGCTTTCCACTTCTCCAACCACCCCCGGATTTTCTACCACGGCTTTTATTTAGTTATGACACTTATTTTCTTCTTTCTAAAGGGAAATCAGTGGAACTAAAGACAGTTGTTTAAGAATCTAATTGGCTCAACTTACTGTGCAAGAGTACTTTCAAAAGCTCACGGAAAATGGAATTAAAAGATTAGGTGCAAAAAAAAAAAAAAACCATGTGTAGTTTTTTTTTCCCCAACACGCATTTTTCCATTAACTTTTTGAAGATCTCCACCTCCATATGCACAGATTTCCAAATTTTTTGGCACCAAAATAAACTCATCTTTTAATTCCATCTTTCCTGAAACTTCTGAGGGACTCTTGGACGTGGCAACAGTTCTGCAAATTCCAAGACACATCAAGGAAGCTGACCCGGAAGTGAAGCTCCTGGTGCTGGGTGCACCGCGGTGAACACGGGGTTTTTGGGTGGGTGTTCTGCTCGCAGCAGCAGCGGGGAGCCGACAACAGGAGGGTGGCTCCCGTGGGAATCAAGCTCCTGTCAACCAAGGCTCCCTGAGCCCCTGCCAGCACTGTGGGAACCATGGGAAGGGAGCTGCTGCGTTGCTAATGCAGGTTGGCTGTTGAGAGTAAAACTGAAATGCCTTGGGGGCCTGCAGCAGGAACTGGCCTCTCGTGCATTCCATGAAACCAACTGCACTTGAAATTCTGAGCGATTACAGCCCAACCCCTCCATGGACAGGAGTACTCAGAGCGGACACCTCTGCCCCCAGTCCCCAGCGCATAGCTGGCAGCAGTTGGGGCTGGAAGTCAAGTCTTCAAAAAGACAGTTGCCGCGAATAACCGCCCGGAGAATTACTGCTCATAAAGAATTTACCCTGTGCCTGCTGCCAGGCTCCGGCTCGTGCTAAGCCCCTTTTCTCACACTGTTCTGTTTAGCCCTCATGAATCCCCTGTAAGTTAACATTCTGACAACAATACGCTCACTCCCACTTCACAGGGGTGACAACTGACG